CCTTCGGGAGATGCAAGACAAGGTTCTGGACATGGAGAAGGTGCGACTGGGCGGCCGCCGGGGGCACCCTGGAGATGGGGCAGTGAGGGCGCCCCTGGGAGGTGACAGCCAGGCCCTCGCTGTCAGGGGCAGCCCCAGGGACCTGAGGGCCAGGCCCTGGAGTCAGAGCCCCTCCCCTACCTCCTCCCCCATAGTCTCCACAGCAAGGTGTGTACCACTCAAGCCCTGGAGGTGTGCGCGCACACGCACACACACACACACAGCAGCACGACTCCATGAGGGGCACGCCTGCCCTCACATGCCACGCACCAGGCCAGCAGCACAGCGGTCGCTGCGGGCCTCCTGGACAGCCCATCCTGCCTGTGTACGACCCTCAGGCCCTGAGCTCCAGGGTGAAGGGAAGGCGCAGGCCTGTCAAGGCTGCCCCCCTCCACAGCCCCACCACCCAGGGGGCCGCCTTCTCCCACCTGCAGCCCTTCAGGGAGCGCCAGGCCTCTTGGTCCCCTGCAGTTCTTCCACCCTGGTTATTGTCTCAATTTCCCTGAGCTGCCAGAAGGGAAATGCCCTGGCCACCAGAGGGCAGCACTCACCCACTAGCAGAAGCCTTGCCCCCCCACCCCAGCTTCAAGCTGCAGTTTGGGGTGTCCTCCTAGGTGGGGTGTCTCTGCCACAGCCTTGCATGGGGCCATCCGCCTCACAGTCCCTAACAGACCCACCACCCAGATTGGGCTTTCCTCTCCCCTCTCTACATCAGAGGGAAATGTGGGCCCAGAAGTTCCACCACCCTCCCCCCAACTCCCAGACAAGGGGCAGCGATAACCTCCTGCAGCGAGTTGGCTTTTGGTCCAAGAGGCTGGAGCACAAATCTCTCATCACTGAGCCCTTGGGAGACCAGGATAGGGCCTAGGCCGGCCCTCTGCCCCCAGGGAGACAGTGGCCACACCTGCCATCTGCTCAGCTTCTGCTGGGCCAGGTCTGGGCTGGGAGGGCGAGGATCTCAGGCTCCCAGGTGAGGAGAACCTGGCCTCCTGCCCTCTTGGTGTTATTAACAACCACGTGTGGTGTGGGGGTTGCCCTGGACCAGCCCCCCGAGAGAGCAGGTGCTGTTACTACAGCGGCTTTACAGACCAGGATTTCTAGCAGGGGCTGCGAGGGTGGGGTCTCCTCCCCTGGGGGCTCGTCCTCTTCGCTGGGCATCCGGGCGTCCAGGGTGCACCCTCTCCCAGCCCAGCCGCCAGTGGTGAAGCCCAGAGGAGAAGGGGGCGGGGAGTGAGGCCTGCAGGCAGGGCCACGTGGCCGCAGCTCCTCTGGGCTCTGAGCGCTCCTCTCCCCGCAGAGGAACAGCTCACTGCCCGACGAGAACAACGTGGCTCGGCTTCAGGAGGAGCTGAAGGCGCTCAAGGTTCGGGAGGGTGAGGCCGTGGCCTCAGCGCGGGAGCTGAAGCTGCAGCTGCAGGAGCTCTCGGACACCTGGCAGGTGAGGGCGGGCCTCGTTCCAGGCGGCCGAAGCGGCCTCGGGGCCCCCGGCGCAGACCGACCGCCGACCTCTCCCCGCAGGCCCACCTATCCCGCGGTGGCCGCTGGAAGGAGTCCCCGCGGAAGCTGGTCCTGGGCGAGCTGCAGGACGAGCTGATGAGCGTGCGGCTGCGCGAGGCCCAGGCGCTGGCCGAGGGTCGAGAGCTGCGGCAGCGCGTGGTGGAGCTCGAGACGCAGGTGGGCCGAGGCCGGCCCGGGGAGGGAACCCGGCGCCTGGGGTCGGGCCCTCAGCAAGGCCGTGACCCCCGCGCATCCGCCCCCAGGACCACATCCACCGCAACCTGCTGAACCGTGTGGAGGCTGAGCGCGCGGCGCTGCAGGAGAAGCTGCAGTACCTGGCGGCGCAGAACAAGGGGCTGCAGACGCAGCTCAGCGAGAGCCGCCGCAAGCAGGCGGAGGCCGAGTGCAAGGTGCCCGCACCCCCACTCCCCCCATCCCCTAAGCCCTGCCGCGCCCCTTGACCCCTTTTCCCCCACCCCCGCCCCCAGAGCAAGGAGGAGGTGATGGCCGTGCGCCTGCGGGAGGCGGACAGCATGGCGGCGGTGGCCGAGATGCGGCAGCGCATCGCGGAGCTGGAGATCCAGGTGAGCGGTGAGGCGAGGGGGGGCGCGCCTCGGACTGGCTCCGGGACCGGACCCCGTGCTGACTGGCACGGCCCGCCCTCAGAGAGAGGAGGGCCGCATCCAGGGCCAGCTGAACCACTCGGACTCGTCGCAGTACATCCGCGAGCTCAAGGACCAGATCGAGGAGCTGAAGGCCGAGGTGAGAGCGGGAGAGGCGTTGAGAGCCCCCGTGGCCGCGGCCAGTGATGGGCCGGGCGTTGGCACTTCGGGGAGCGGGAGAGGAGGGGGACCCGGCGGCCAGACTCGGTCCGTGGGGACATCGATGCACGCCTCCAGCGCGTGGGTCCCACCCACCCCAACCCCCCGCCCCAGGTGCGGCTGCTGAAGGGCCCGCCGCCTTTTGAGGACCCGCTGGCCTTCGACGGGCTGGGCCTGGCTCGGCACCTGGACGAGGACTCGCTGCCATCGTCCGATGAGGAGCTGCTTGGCGTGGGCGTGGGCGCCGCGCTGCAGGACGCGCTCTACCCACTGTCGCCACGCGACGCACGCTTCTTCCGCCGGCTGGAGCGACCGGCCAAGGACAGTGAGGGCAGCTCCGACAGCGACGCTGACGAGCTGGCCGCGCCCTACAGCCAGGGCCTGGACAACTGAGGCCGTGCCCCGCGTGCTCGGAGCTGGGGGGGTGGGGGGGGCGGGGGCGGACCGCCGCCAGCCCGCTCCTGCGTCGGCGCCAACTCTTCACAGACTCCAGCCCTCTGCGGTTTCACCCACCCAGAGGGCCAGGCCCAGCGCGCAGCCAGGCACAGAGGGTAGGGCCGGAGGCCGGGGATACTCACAGTGCCCTGGCAGGCCCACCCTCCCCAGCAGTGTTTACCCATCTTGGTCCGTTCCCCTCTCGGCCCATTTATCAGGAAGGTCTGCCCCTCTTAACAGCCAGGGCCAGGAGGACCCAAGGGTCCCAGGACTGCACCAACAGAAGCTCCCCCTCCTAGCCGGCCTCCTCCTGGGACAAGAGCGGCCCTGCCGGGAAGGGCCCAGGCTCTGGGGCAGACCTGAGGAGGAAGGTGCCCCTGTAGGCCGGACTTTACCACCCATGCAGGCCCTGGGGACCCTTGGCCTCTGGAGACAGATGGCCAGGCGGGGCTTCCCTGCCTGGAGCAGGCATTGTGGCCCCTGCAACAGAAACCAAAGTCCCCCTACTGAGTGCAGGGCTGCCAGGGTGTGAATGGCCAGCTGGAACCAGCCAGGGAATGGGCAGTATCTGTCACTGCTTCCTGGGGGCCAGAGCAGCTGTAAGGAAGTGGAGAGACCTCCCTCTCCCCAGCACCCCACCTCTTCCTCTGTGGCAGTCCCATCACCTCAGCTTGGCCAGTGACGGAGGGAGGGGGGCTCCCCGCGCAGGCTAGCCCCCTCTCCAGGGGGTCCCCAGCCTATAATTCCCTTCCTCCTCTGTATCCCTAGCCCCACCTTCCAGCCCCAGGGGAGGAGGCCTCCTGGCTGAGTGCCCCCCCCACCTGCTCACAGTGGTCCCGTGGTCTCTGCTGAGTCAGAGCCAAGAACGGTGCCAAAGTCCAACAATGCCCCCAGACCCGACCCCCCGGGACCTCCTGACCCCCGGGCTGACCTTCTCGGTGCTCCTGGAGCCTAGAACAGCATAACAAACAGTCCCCCTGGCGCTTCCTGGGGTGGGGATCCATGCTCAGTCCCCGCTTCCCAGTCGCCCACTCAGTGTTACAAAGCCTGGGGACCAGGGTGGGCATCCCAGGGGCTCACCCACATGCCCCCCGCACTGCCCACCACCATTTTGCACACTGCCTGTTCACACTCCACATGTCGCCCAGGCGGGAAAGATGAAAAATAAAGTGTATTTACACAGTCACGACAAGGGGCGCTGAGCGGGGTAGGCCTGGGGGTCCTTGGCCCTTTGTGAAGCAGTAGGGAAGGGAGGAGGCTGTCTATGCCCTTGGGAGCCTCCCACTGTGTAAGAGAAACGGGCACAGGTCACAGCAGGCCAGCAGGGGCCCAAAGAGGCTGCCCAGGATGGGGTGCAGCGTGGAAGAGCAAAGTTCACACTGTGCGTGTGAACATTAAGTGTGGGGTAAGAAGAGATAGGTTGGTATTGGAGGAACAGGTCACCAAGGACCTGGGACGTCCAGCTTGCAGATGCACCCTTAGAGCAGGCATTTTCAGGAGGGTGGCTCTGGACATGGGGAGAGTGGGCCATGATTTTCCACCAGGGCAATTCAGCCAGGGCCTCCCCTGAGAGTCATGGAGAATGAAGAGGCTTGGGATAGGGGCCTCAGGAGGATTCAGGGTCTAGTTTCCTCCATTTGGCATGTACTTCCTGAGGCCTTCGGGGCTTTCTGCTCTGAGCCTGGTCCTGAGGGGTCCCAAGTGAAGTGAAGGAGACAGACATTGAGGTGGGGGTGGGGGATAAGCTTGCGCTAAGAGTGGTGAGTGCCTAGATGAATGTGTAGGGAGATCAGGGAAGGTTTCTTGGAGGACATGGGGGGTGGGTGCATCTCCAAGGGCAGAAGCATAAGGGTGAGGTGTGGCGGGATCAGCAGGAGACACGTGAGATCTGTGAAGAACAGGAGAAAGTGGCCATGGCCAGATTGGGAAGGGGGTTTTCAAGTCAGGAGAAGAAAGACTGCACTTTGAAATGAGGGTACTGGGGAGCCATGGAGGGCTTAGGTGAGAGGGGCGCCATCAGAGGGACTACTGTCTTGGGGGTCAGCACAGAGACAAAACTGAGCCAGCAGTGGGTACTGCCCTAGGGAAAGAAGACCCAGAGAGGCGGGTCCGTTGTAGGGTTGCCCACGGAGCTGAGGTGTAGTCCCAGCTACTGCAGGGAGTCAGATCCAGGGATGGCAAGGAAGGCTTCCTGGGGGAGACATTTAATGGTCCAGCCAGATACCAGCCTGACCCTGGCCTCTACACCCAGTGTGGGCCCACAAAGTGTACCCCACTCTGCTGCATGATACCTGTAGAGCAGTGAGCAGGACACCTGTCATGCACCAGGACAGCTGAGCCCCTCTCACGCCACAGCTCCTGTGGATCCATCACCATCCCCACCACACAGTTTGAACACTGAGACCTTGACTGTTGCTGCCTGCCTCTCCTGCTCCCACCGAGTAACTCCACCTGGTTAGCTCCCAGGATGGGGCATGAAGTTGGGAGAACTGGGACTCTGCCCTGCTCCCTCTTGAGGGCTGGTCTTGGGGCCTCAGCTACCCAACATGTCATGAGTCAGCTCAGGCTTGTCTCAGCATCTGGAAACAAGGACACCCAGGTCCTCACCAGGGCCCAGCTTAGAAAAGAAACCTCTGTAGTTTGTCAACTTAACCGATTGGCTCCCAGGGATGTAGGTGACAGTATCCCATCAAGACTGGGCCAATTTCTCTTCAGATCCTAGATTGGGAGGCAGTTGCTTCTGGGGTGGGGACCAGCAGGAACCCAGCTTCAGAGACTGGGTCTATGGGCAGAGAGATTACCCCACATGGGATCATCTCTCTGTCCTTCTACCTGTCCTGAGGATTGTGGTTCCCCTCGGGCCGCCATCATTTTGGGTGTAAAGCAGGACACCCATGGGGAGGAAAGGCCTAGGGGGTCCATTTCCTGCACGGGTACTTGGGGAAAAGGAGGGCCTGGGCTGTGGCTTAAAGGAGCTAGAGTCAGGATGACTGGACTGTGGGAGGAAGGGCAAGGAATTCTGACTCGGGGAGACAAGCAAAGGCAGTGGTTGGCTCTGGTGAGGACCCGCGACACTGGTGCACAGGCAAGGATGCCTGGCTAGAGGGCTTAGGGGGGACACCCAAGGTTGGGATGAAAGGCAAGGGCCATGGCTGGGAGGCTGGCACAGAGGGGCATGGTGAGGGCACCTGGAGAGGAGTGGGCAACAGAAGGATGCCTAGATCTCCCATCAGCCTTGGAGAGGCTGCTCCTTCCCTGCAGGCTCCTCAGCGTGGTCCGCCCAGGAGGCAGTGACTCCCCTTTCCAAGCCCAGGGTTCAGCTGCAGGCCTGCCTTTTGCACTGCAGCCTTCTTGGTGAGCAGCTCTTGGGAGGCCCTGGAGGAACCCGAGATGGCCATCAGTCTCAGGCCTCTCCTGTCTCCCTCTGACACCCCAGGGCATGGAAAGTAAAGGGGTGTACACTGTGAGGAAGAACCTCAGGAAGTGGCTTGCGCCCTCTCCTGAGATCCAAGCAATCCCTCCCTGTGTCTTCCCCGACCCCCCAAGGAGTGCCTGCTCCCGCGGCAGAGTGTGAGAAGAGCTTGATCAGCTGGCCACACCGGGCATACCTCGTTCATTCACTTGGTCAGGCAGCCCCACCTGCACTTGATATTTCCATGAGAAGTCGGGCATAAGAATGCCTACGTTCACGCACGCGGGTAGGTGCACGGTGCTAGACCACAGGGACTCTCAGCATTTCCTGATCCCACCGCAGCTCCTCCTTGTACGCCCCTACTCTCAGTGGAGGAACTTTGGGGAAAGCCTTCAACCAGAGCTACAACCTGCTGTGCACCGCCTCCAGCACCGCCCACCTGGCCCCTCGTGCCGCCCTGCTGTCCGATGCGCCCGGTAAGCCCCCAGCCCGCGACCGCGAAGGAGAAAGTAAACAGGCCTCAGTCTCCGCTTTATTGCAAACTCGGGCTGCGCGCGGTAGACAATACACTGAACACCGGGAAGAGCCTAGGCCGAGGGAGGGACGGGGCTTGAGGGGTGCAGGAACGCGCTCTAGGCCAAAGGCGAGGGGCTCAAGGGGAGGGCCTTGGCCAAAGGTGTTGGTCGCAAGCCAGGACCAAAATTCTAGGGCTCTAAAGGGACTGAGACCAATCCACGGGAAGCCGGACTCCTGGAGGAAGGGAGAAAGAGATCTAAGACCTTTGAGGTGTAACCAGAGGGGCGAACCTAAGGCAGGGGTGGGGTGGGCGGGCGGGAACAGGGTCGGGCTCAGTGGAAGGTCTCCACCTCTACCACGGTCCAGTCACCCTGCGGGGAAGCCACGTCATCTGGGGAGAAGCTAGTGACTGAAGTGATGCTGGCGCGGGACTCGTCCAGCGGCGACAACAGTTCGGCCCAGCGGCCCAGTTCGGCGTCGCTCAGCGCAGTGCGGGCTCCCCCCGAGCTGCCGCCACCCCCAGCGCCACCTGGACCACCGCTGCCTCCCGCGGCCTCCTCAGTCGCAGCTAGCAGCAGCGTCCGGCTCAGCAGGTGCTGCACGACGCTCGCCTGCAGCGCCCCCAGCGGCAGCTCTCCCAAGCGCGCCGGCTTCGCGCCACGAGAGGCCGCACCAGCCGCAGCTCCGGCCGCCGCCTTCCCACCGCCCGCGCCGGGCCCGGGCCCGGGATCTAGTGCGTCTGTGGCGGGGCTCGCCGACTCGGGACCTTCAGCCTCATAGATGGTGCACAAGCCATCAGCAGAGCCCGACCCGGATGCAGGAGACCAAGGCAGGGGCGCTCCTGCGGGGAGAGGAGCCGGGATGCTCAGAGAGAGCGGGAAGCCCCACCCCAGCCACGAGACTCCGCCCCTCCCTTCAGCTCCGCCCTCAGACCCAACTGTCTTGCCCCCCGAGCCTTGCCTCCGACCCCGCCCTCTCACATCCCAGACCTCGCCCCTTCTACTGCTCCGCAGAGTCCGGAGGACTGTTTACCTGGGGTGCTGCGGATGGCCAGAGGCGGAGCGGAACCTCGGCTCCAAGCTGCCGGGTGGCAGGCGGCGAGCTCGGCATCGGCAGGCGGAGAGGCTGCGGCGCCGCCCTCGGGCCCACTGTCGTAGCCGCGCAGCTCCTCGGGCGTGCTGGTGGCGCTGCTGCTGTGGCCCGCCAGGTCCGGGCCACTCAGCGTACTAGACGGGCTGCGCGACGGCGGCGGCGGCGGGCCTGGGGCCAGCGCCAGGGTCAGCCGTGGGCCCGAGATGGGGGCATCGGGACCCGGGGTTGGAGGGCGGCGTGGGGCCTGCAGAGGAGGTGAGGCAGGGGGAGAGGGAGGGGTCTGCAAAGTCGGCAATGCCAGGGAAGGTGGAACACGTGGTAGGGGCGTGATCAGAGAAGAGGGAGGGTCTTGCAGAGGGGATGAAGCAGAGGGACAGGGACCCCCCTGCACTGGGAGAGAGGCCAGAGAAGGTGGAGCCTGCAGAGGAGGCAGGCTCAGAGGAGGAGCGGCCTGTAAAGGGGACGTGCTCAAAGAAGGCGGATCTCGCGGAGGGAGTGTGGCCAGGGGAGAGGGAGAGTCTTGCAGAGGGGGTGAAGCAAGGGGAGAAGGAGGGGCCTGAAGAGGGGGCAAGGCCAGAGAAGGTGGAGCCTGCAGAGGAGGCAGGCTTGGAGGAGGAGGAGTGGCCTGTAAAGGGGGCGTGCTCAGAGAAGGTAGAGCCCGCGGAGGGGGTGTGGCCAGGGGAGAGGGAGAGTCTTGCAGAGAGGGTGAACCAGGGGGAGAAGGGGAGGCCTGAAGAGGAGACGAGGCCAGAGAAGGTAGACCCCTCTGTGGGGGCTGAGCCCGAAGAGGGGGAGGATCATGCAGAGATGAAGCAGGGGGAGGAGAGGGTGGGGCCTGCAAAGGAGGTGAGGCCAGAGAAGGTGGAGCCAGCAGAGGAGGCAGGCTCTGATGAGGGGGAGTGGCCTGTACAGGAGGCGTGGTCAGAGAAGGTGGAGAGTGCGGATGAGGTACGGCCAGGGGAGGAGGGGTCGCCCGCAGAGGTGGTGAGGCTAGAGATGGGGCCTGTATAGGAGCGGCCTGTCGAGGGGAAGTAGCCAGAGGAGGTGGAGTCTGTAGCAGGGGCCTGACCAGGGGAGAGGGAGACTCTGAACGGGGAGGACCCTGAAGAGTGAGTATGGTCTGAGAGGGTGTGGCCTGTGAAGGGGGTGTGGGAGGCGTGTCCAGTGTATAGGGTGTGGCCTGAAGAGGTGGAGACATAGGACTGGCCTGCGGAGGGGGCGTGGCTAGGGGAGAGGGCAGGTTCCTCACAGATGCTGCCTGAGACAGAGGGGCTTGTAGGGGGCCAGCGGCTGGTGGTAGAGGACCTGCGGAAGCCGGTGTGGCTAAGGGAGAGGGGAGAGCTGGAAAAGGAGGTAAAGTCAAAGACGCCTCAGTGGGGAGTACACTATGCAGAGCAGGTGAAACTGATGGAGGGACTGATGCCAGAAGAGGGGCCATGGCCAAGGGAGAGGCGGACCCCTCCGGAAAGGATGTACCCAGGTGTGTGGGTGGAGCCTGCAAAGGAGGTGTGGCCGGCGGAGAGGGGAGGGTCAGCAAAGAGGGCGGAGCCGGAGAGGGAGGGGCTAGTGGATGGGGCGTGGTCAAAGACCGGCTGAGGGCCTGGGAAGGGGGCGTGGTCGGTGGAGAAGGAGGGAGCGCATCCCGACAGGGAGTGGTTGGGGCACGCGGAGGCGGTGCGGTAGGACAAGGTAGAGAGGATGTGGCCAGAGGAGGAGAAAGGCCCCTCACTGGGGCTGCGCCCTTCCTGGGGGATGTGGCCTGCGGGGCGCGAAGAGTCTGTAGTCCTTTCGACTTGGGCTGAACAACAAGAGCCCGGGGTGTTCCAGCCGGGGAAGCTCCAGAGCGGACTGGGGAGGATACAGGGGTGACGCTAGAGCCCAGGGGGCGTGAGGTTGGCCTCTGGAGGCTCCCGCCGGCGCTGGGTCGCTTCCTGGAGGCAGGGCTCGGCTCCGCCGCGCTGCGCTCTGGGGCGCTGCTCACTGACTTCCTGGAAGCCTCAGTAGTCGGGGGCCGGAGCCGGGCACTTGGAGCTGCCCGAGGGACACCCACCTCAGCGCCCACAGCCCGGGGCCGACGGGAATTGACCGGGGAGGGAATGGCTGGGGTGGACCCAGAAGAGTCTGGGGACAAAACAGAAGGCCGAAGGTCACCAATACTTCACAGCTCAGGAACCCCACTGGTTCCTCCCCCAGGTCACATACCTCTCCGTGCCCCAGTGCTCAGGGTGCTCCTTCTGGGTGAATCTGTGGCTTTTCCTCTGGCTGCAGGTTCCTCAGCTGGGGGTCGGAGCCCCTTCTGCCCAAGAAGGCCTGGTCTGGGGACAGGAGGGCCTGCGATCAGGGCAGAGCTCCAGCTCCTATTTCCTCTCCCAAGTCTACATTTCCTCATCTGTAAAATGGGGCATATGCTCTCTCTGCCAGCCAATAACAGCTTTCACCAATTTGCGCCCAGTGATAAGCAAGTGCTCCCACACACTTTAATTAAAGGCTTCCAGATGGAGACACTAACCCTTGTCCAAGGGACTTGGGGGTGGGGGCGGGTGTGTTACCTGGTGGGCGCGCTGGCATGCCTGGGGCTAGAGATACAGCCTGAGCCTGGGGTCCTGGCAGGAGCCCGCTCCCCTCTCCCAGCTGCTGTGGGCCTGGAGGCTGTGGGGAGAAGGCCAAGTCAATGCAGGTGCCCCAGAAATCAAGGGAAAGCTGGTGCCTCAGAGGAGGGGAGGCAAGATGGGGTCAGAATCAGGGAAAGAGGCTGAAGTACCTGGGCTCCGGGGACCCGTCCCAGAGCTCCGCGTTGGTCCCACCTGGGGAGTAACCTCCGGGAGAGCGGCTCCCCGGATGCCCCCGGTTCGCTCTGCCAGGGGCCCTCGCCCTGCGGCTGCTGCTGCTCCCAGAACTCGGAGAGCCGCGCTGGTTACTGGAGGAGGGGGTCGTGGAGACCCTGCGGGCTTAGGGATTGGAAGGCCAGGAGGGCGAGAAGCGGGCGGGCGACCAGCGGCCGCTGCCCTGGACTTGTCCCTCTTGTCCATCCAGCACCTGAAGAAGAAACAGATTAATCAGCATCCCAGGTCCTGGATCGCTATGCTGCCTGCAAGGTTCTGGGTCCTGGAACCTCTCTGCTCCTTCTCCTGCGTCACCAACCATGGGCGCCCAAACCTCTGCTTGGATCCACTTCCTTCCACCCACCCACCACTCACCAGCGCAGCTGCTCACGGTGGTCCCCAAGCCTCGTCCTTATCGCCTTTCCTCCAGGCCACGCCTGCCTCTGCTCCTTCTCAGGACCAGAGATCAACCCACCTACCCCTCGCCCTCTCAGGGCCTTGACCACCAGCGTCGGGCCAGGGAGCTACCACAGGTTCCAGATGAAGGGATGAGCACACGCCCGGATCCCCTCGCCAGCCCCCAGAGCCGTCCCGGGCCTCCGGGAGTGATGCCGGCACCTGCCGGGAGGAGGAGCGGTCCCGGCTGCCCGCGCACCGGCTTGCGGAGACAAAGAGCCGTGTTCCGAGCCCGTCCCCCTGTGCCTGCTGGGCCCTGGTCCGCGTCGCCCTTCCACCTGCTCGCGCCACTGCTCACCTCGGGCTTCGGTCTCCCTCCGCTCCACGCTGGATCCCCTGGGGTGGGGCCGGGTGGGAGCGCCGCGGCGGTGGCTGCGGAGGGCAGGCGAGGGGAGGGGGCGGCGGGCGGCGGCGCCGTGAGGCGGGCCCGGCCCTTGGCGGCGGGCGGGGGAGAAGGGGGCGCGTGCGCTGGATGTAGACCGGGAAGGCGCAGGCGGGAGCGCGCGGAATTGAGTGGGGAGGGGAGAGCGCGTGGGAGGCAGAGGCGGCTTCTCTGCGGCTGCGCCTGAGCACCTCAGACACCCAACCAGAGGGGCTTCGGGGAGGGGGGTAATCCCTTGGGGTCTCGGATCCAGTCTAACCCCCTCTTCCCCAGCCGCTGCCGCACACACCTGCCCAGGCCCCCACCCAACCACCTGGATACCCGAGGCCCGCCTAAACGCGGATAGGCTGGGCCCTGGCAACCAGGGGGCGGGACCATCGCGCCTCGTGCCCAGTTCGCCAATCGGGCCTCTCGATGTCCCTGGCCCAGTCTTCGCCTTCGCTACCGCAGAGGCTGCCCACAGACCCCAGGAAACCTCCTATCTCGTTGAGCTCGGGGACTGGTGGAAGAATGAAGCCCTGGGAAAGTAGGGGTAGCCCCCGATTGGGGGGAAGAGAGGAAAAAAGAATAAGGGGGAGAGAGAGACCGAGGCTGGTGAGAGGTGACCCAACATTCTACAGGGCATCGCACCCCCACTCTCCATACCCTCCCAGGTCACATAAAGTCAAGTCAGCAAAGGCTTCCGGATAGAACCAGGCTTTGAGGAGATGAGATTATTGAGGGGAGGGGGGGCTGGAGGTGTCAAAACTGGTGCATGAAGGAGCTGAATAAATTCCGTTCGAGGTTTCCCAGCCCAGCCTGAGGGAGTAGAAGTGTCATTTTGGTGACTTGCCAACTGGTGCAGGGGCCACCTGGAGTACCTTGATAGGGGATTGTGGCATGGAGGGGATAGAAGCATGAAGAGGGAGATGGCCATCTTCAGCCGCCCTGAGCTGGGGCACAGTGTCAGGTGCCCTCCTGCACCTCCGCTTATACTCAAAAACACATTGGGGACTTCCCTGGTGGTCCAGTGGCTACCCTCCCAACACAGGGAACTAGACCCCACATGCTGCAACTAAGGGTTCGCCTGCTGCAACTAAAGGTCTGCGTGTTGCAACACAGACTGAAGATCCTGTGTGCTGCAACTGAGACCCAGTGCAGCCAAATCAATTAATTAAAAAATAAAAGACCACATCGACCCCACAGAAACACTGGGCTCTCTGCTCCCAAGCCCAATCTCTCCAGACTCTTAGCTACCCACTATCCCATCCCAAGGAACTGGCTCCCTCTGCCCCACCTTGTCCCCATCACATTTGTTCATATAGAGAGCTTGAGAATGCCCTGTGTGGTCCCATTCATACAACCTTCTGGAAACTGCAGGCTAATCTATAGACAGTGATAGAAAGCAACTCAATGGTTGTTGGGGTCCAGGGAAGGGAAACTTTTGAGCCACTCATTGTAGCCACTCTGACTGATTCCTGACCCTGAGAAACTGCATGTGTGCTCAAGTTTCTGTCAAGTCTGACTCTTTGTGACCCTATGGACTATAGCCCACCAGGTTTCTCTGTCCATGGGATTTCCCAGGCAAGAATACTGGAGTGAGTGGCCATTTCTTCCTCTGGGGATCTTCTCGACCCAGGAATCAAACCCTTTTTCTCCTGTGTCTCCTGCATTGCAGGTAGATTCTTTATTGCTAAGCCACCAGGGAAGCTCTGAGAAACTGTCAGACAGTAAATTCTTGTTGTCTTAAGGAGCTAGGTTTGGGGGCAGTTTGTTACATAGCAATAGATAGCTACCGCAGGCTCACAAAACCTTAAAAGCTGGTTATAAACAATCAAGTATTGGTGAGAATATGGAGAAATAAGAACACTTGTGTACCATTAGTGGGAATGTAAAATGATACAGCCACTGCGATCCACTTATATGAGGTCCCCAGAGGATTCAGATTTATTGAGATGGACAGTATAATGCTGAGTGCCAGGGGCTGGGGGAGAGGAATAGTGAATTCGTGTTCCATGAGGACAGAGTTTCATTTTTTTCAAAATGAAAAAAGTTCTGAAGATGGATGGTGGGGATGGTTGCCTAACACTGTGAAATTACTTAATGCCACTGAAGTGAGAGTATTGGTTGCTCAGTTGTGTCTGACTGTTTGGGGACCCCAAGGACTACAGCCCTCCAGGCTCCTCTTGTCCATGGGATTCTCCAGGCAAAAATATTGGAGTGGGTTGCCATTTCCTTCTCCAGAGGATCTTCCTGACCCAGGGATCAAACCTGCATTGCAGGGATCAATGTGCATTGCAGGCAGATTCTTTGCCTTCTGAGCCACCAGGGAAGCCCTTAATGCCAGTGAGCTGTACCCTTAAAAATGGTTAGGATGGCAAATTCTTTGTTATGTGTGTGTACATTACCACAATTGTTTAAAAACTTGGATAATATGCATGTGGGGAAACTCATGAATTACCAATGGGAATGTAAAGTAGGCAGTCTTTCTGAAGGACCACTGGGAAGCATTGCATGTATGTCATATGGCTAAGACATTCCACTCAAGCGTTTGTACCTGTGACAGATCCCATACTGCCCTTGCCATATCCTCTGAGCACCCAGAGTCCCCACATGCAGGGAAAGTCAGGAGTCCCATGGTGTGAACGCCCCCCTCCACCTCAGTCTCCAGAGAAGCCCTCAGCCATGACAGACAGAAGCTGGTGCAACAATGCTTCCACTCCTCCGCCACTTGGGTGGGACACCTTGGAGGTGCATCTGCCATCATCTCCCAGAGCTGCCATCATTAACACTGGCTTCCTTCTCTTCCCCACTGGCTCACCGTCAATCCTTCCTGAGTTCACCTTCCAGAGAAACTATTGCCATCTAATTCCTTGCCTAGAGGTCTGCTGGAAGAAGAGCCTGAACTAAGCATCCATCCATTACTTACTGAATGCCCACTGTGTGCCAGGCACCATCTGAAGTGTCAGAAAAGGTATGTGTCTAGGGCTCGTGGGGCTTCAGTTCCAGCGACCGCAGAGACTATTGCACAGGAGTGCAAAGCAGTGTGTAACAAGACACGCATCCCAGCATATAGCTGAGAACAAACCCTCAGGACATGCATCTCAAGGAGCTACTCCAGAGGCTAGAGGAGAAGGAGAAGCTATTCATCTCAAAAGGCCCCTTTGCTACCACTTCACCTCACCCCGTTTTGCTATAGACACAGCATAAGTGCATGCTCAATGGCTCAGTCATGTATGACTCTTTGAGACACCATGGGCTATAGTCCACCACTCTTCTGTCCATGGGATTATCCAGGCAAGAATCCTGGAGAGGGTTGCCATTTCCTTCTACAGGGGTCCTTCCCCACCTGCATCTCCTGCACTGGCAGGCAGATTCTTTTCCACTGCACCACCACAGCATTTGTCACAAATTGACATTATCTTGTTCCTTAGTTACACACATCCTTACCCTCTCCCTCTCCCCACCCCCATCCACACACAGACACACTCCAATAGAGCAGAAGCTCTGAGAGAGAAGATAGCCTCGCTTATCTTGTCCACACAAAGAAGGTTTGTCTTTGGGTGGCCTGTGGCCGAGCCCGCAGGGACTTCTGCAAGGGGGGTCACACCCATTGCCAGATTTCACAGAGGAACCTAAGCTTAGGGGGTCCCAACCCTCGAGGTTTCAGAGTATCTCTAATCTGGTGAACTTGTGGGCTCATTTTCCCCATGAGAGATGGGGCCTCACTCTCCCACCTTCTCAGGTCTCCTCTCCCTTGAATCTAGCAGACAGAGCAGGTCAAGGCAAAAGTCTTTTCTGAGATCTAGCGCAGGCCTCCCAAAGTGGGGAGGAAATCGTGGGGGTTGGGGCAGCAGGGTCTCCCTTTGAGAAGCAGACCTCCCAGATTGGACTCCAACCTTGGCTCCCAGAGCCCTCTGACCCCTGACTCTGTCTCCTCCCCAGTGGAGAGCGTCCCCTGGTTGGGTGGTCACAGCAGGAAAGAGAAAGCGCCCCGCCCTCCCTTGGGCCCTGATCACGGATTCCCTGTTTGAGTTTCAAAGCCAAGTAGCTCCACCTGTTACTGACTGGTCTATACAGATTAGCTCCCAGAAAGGTACTCTCAGGTTGGCTTTGGGCGTCCAGCGCCTTCAGCCCCTCTCAGGGTCCCTCATGCAAGGTCCGCCCCACTGCAGCGGAGCCCAGCATTCTACCGTTCCTGCTCCTCCGACGAGCCCCTCCCCTCCCCGGGGACTTCAGGGTTAGGCTCGCCGACCTCCGGCTATCCCACGGTACCGGGAGTCCCGGAGCTTCCGAAGGGAGGCGGGGCCGAGACGGCTGATGGGCGGGGCGGGGCAGTCCGCGGCTCCGGTCCCGCCCGCCCTGACTCACCCAGTCCCGCCCGCGAACTCCGCGGGAGTCCCGGCCGCTCAGCTCCCCGGGACACAGGAGTTGGAAACAGCGTCTGGCCCGTGAGGTGAGTAGGTGGCTCTCCGCGCTTGGGGACCCGGTGGTGAGGGGTGAGGGGTGAGGACCTGGCCCACAGGAGGACCGCCTGAGGTGCGGCTGGCCCTGCGACCTCAGCCCTAAGCCGTCTGGGGCACAGAAGGAGCTGGGCGGGGGGTGGGGGGTAGGGGGGAGCGGTGCAGAGAGAGGCCCGGCCCTGGCCAGCCCAAGGGCGCCTATCCAGGGAGCCCGGCAGGCCTGGCCAAGGACAGAGTGAAGATCGAACAGCTAGGGTCCACCCTGGGCGTCTTGATACCCTGTTCCCCTCTCCTCTTGCCAGTGACAGCTCATCCCAGCGAGCCCCTCACCTCCCAGAGCCCTAACACGTGGGGGCCTCCCCAGGCTGTCCCTTCCGGGTCCCTTGAACCTAAAGACTCCCCAGAAGGCCCAGTCCTGGAAGGGCAGCTTGGAAAAGTACTAGGTTGGGACTCCCCAGACGTAAGGCCCAGAACTGGCTCTGCTGCTACTGCCCCCCACCCCCGACCATAATTTCTCTCTCG